CCTCCCTCCCCTCCTTTTCCATCCTCTCTATTTTGGAGACAGAGTCTTGTTCTAATTCAGGCAAGCCTCCTGAGTACTGGAATTACAGGCGTGTGCCACCATTCTCAGCTTCATTTGTGAATACTGCAGAATGTGTTTCTAAATAGAACTTTTTCTGTTTTGTTTTGTTTTGTTTTGAGACTGGGTCTCACTATGATAGCTAGGCTGGCCTCAAACTTGTGATCCTCCTGCTGTGTCCCTAGTACTGGAACTAATGTAATTTTTGTTTCCTTGCTTAGTGACTTTAACCTAATTTTGTAATGTCTATATTCTTTATTCTGTGTGGCTAGGGAATTACTTTGTTTGTTAGCTTAATGGTCAGCTAATGATTAGGCAGAGATTTCCTTAATATCCTGTAACCCTTGAGTTTCCTAGGCTTTGTGGATGGTATATGTGTTCATCATGCCCTTAATATTCAGCCAGACAGTTAAAAACTCTGCCTTAGCCTTCACTTTTTGCTTGCACAGAAAGTTAAGTCAGAAATGGGAGCTTTTTAGATCTTTATCTAGCACATAGCCCTAGGCATGTCCATGGGTCTGCACACCGGTATGGTCAAGATTTGTAGAATTTTGCCAGAGCTTCTCAAAGCTACAATAGTCATCTCATACTTAAGTTCTTCTTTGAAATATTTTGGGTTAGTGTGTTGTCTGTTTTCCTCTGTATCAGGCAGCTTTGAAGTCGAACAATTCTCTCATACTATTTTCAGCAAGTACCACCAGGAAAAATGCACCCATATTGGCCAAACTCTTAAATCAGTTCACACAGACTTGCAAATGGCTCTTTTTTTTTTTTAACCACTAGAAATGTCAAATAATGACTTATCTGGGGATGGGTAGAGGAAGTTCCAGAGTACCTGTCCTCTCTAGTGCCTGTCAGGTTACTGGTTTTTACTTTGAATGTGAGGTGTTTGCTTTAAGGCCACTGCAGAGGTGGCAAGTACTGGATTTAACTAGGGTAAGTTAAACTTATGAAGCTCAGTTGTTCTTATTAAGGTTCAGTTGTTTGCTTGAATAATGCATCCTGGATTGCTGTAGGCTTTTAGTTACCTTCTGGCATTCTGAAAATGTTGATCCTTAACAATTTTTGGCAATTTTCTCATTACTTTTATGAAAGAGGGGACTTTTGATGGTCCTTTCTCTATATTTAAAAATAAGATACTGTACTGCCAAGGACATTCTGTTGCAGTTATAATAGCAAATACAAAATATGGTATGTGCAAATTTGTAAAAAAATTTTTTTTTGGTAAGCAATTATGAACTGAAACTACTAAAAGGAACATCATAATGTTAGCATTTACTATTTCTAAGTGAGATGATATTTAAATTATGTAGTAAATTGGGAAAAAAATCTTTGTATGTTGTACTATAAGGCTACAATATACAAAGATAAAATAATAATTTTTTCACTCCTGTGATTTATGTTAAAAATTAAAATAGCTGTGAATTTTGGTGATTTAACATAACGTTTTCATAAATATTTGAAGGGATGCTTTGAGAGCATGCTAATAACCCAGGCACTGGAGATGACAAGATGACAAAGTTTAAATGAGTCACTTTGTTCTTGGGTCTCTACTCTGTAGCAAGGAGTTTGTTTTTGTGGGGTGTAATAGAGTGAATTATTAGGCAGATAACGAATTTACAATATCATTTATTAGCATTTTTTTTCTTTCCAGGCACATATTAAATTTCCTATTGACTACCCATATTCACCACCTACCTTCAGATTCTTGACCAAAATGTGGCACCCCAACATTTATGAGGTAAGAGATGTCCATCATAAATTTCTCTGCGGATTTATTTCCCAAATCATTACTTTAAAAATAGCCTGTTGGGCTGGGGTTGTAACTTAGTAGTAGAGCACATATCTAGCAGGCCTGAGCTCCTACCTGGGTTCATTCCCTGGCACCACACACACACACACACACACACACACACACACACAGACACACAGACACACACACACGCACGCTAAAAAAGTAAAAATAGCCTGTATATTTCAGTATGCTATAACTACAGAAAAATATTTATTTCTAGTTAGCAGTCTCTGGTTGAATTGTTTAAAATTGAGGGTAGTTTTATAATAACCAGTGTATATTCTATTTAAAGATTGAGGCTTTAAACTGTGCAATTCATTGTTAAGATTATAATGTATTTGTGTTAATATTTGTGTTTTTAAAGTTCAATACATAAAGACATATAAATTTGTGTACCCTAACCTCTAACTTTACAGCAGGGTCACCTGTTGCTATGATCAGAGATTCAGCTTTTTGGGGGGATTTTTCTAGTTTGGTTGATTGGAACATATCTTGCTTCAGGCTAGTTCATGAGGATGCCAAAATAATGCAGCTTTATTATTTTCTACAGTGTACTTTTTTTTAAAAAAAATAAGACATTTTTATTTCTTGTTCCTGTTTTCGCATAGCTGGTGGTACAAAGGTGATAAGTAGTTTCCTTTCCAGAAATAAGCTCCCAGGATATTTTTTTGTACTTTTTTTTTTCCTGGTACCAGGGATTGAACTCAGGATCTTGGGCTTCCAAGGCAGGCAGCAGCACCACTGAGCCAAATCTCCAGGTGCTGTGTATTTTTTTAAAGTATTTGACATAGTACCAATAAGTAGCAGTGGACATTCAATTCTGTACAACAAAAATTATCACATTGTAGGAGGGGATCAGTTTCACAAATTTAAGCTAAATTTGTAGTATTTTGGTATCTGTCTTAGTCCATTTTGCTTGCTGTAATAAAATACATTATACTGAGTAATTTATAAGCAGCAAAAATTTATTGCTCACAGTACTGATAGTAGGGAAGTCCAAGAGTAAGAAGCCAACACATTGGTATCTAGTGAAGAATTAATTGTTCCATGGAGATGCAGGGCATCTCTCTCTTGTTTCTTCTATTATTTACTTTTTTTTTTTCTTTTGAGATAGAGTCTCACTGTGTAGTTGAGGCTAACCTGGAACTCACTGTGTAGCCCAGACTGGTCTTGAACTCACAGCAACCTCCTGCCTCAGCTTCCCAAGTGCTGGGGTTACAGGCATGCGCCACCACACCTGGCCTCCCTTCCATTCTTTATCAGTACTTAGGCTATTTATTTCTTTCTCTCAAGATTTAACATTAGAAACTGGGCAAGTTGGTGCATGCCCATAATCCCAGCACTTTGGGAGGTTGAGGCAGGAGGATCACAAGTTCAAACTTGGAAATTTAGAAGCTTGGCCAGACCCTGTCTCAAAAAAGTAAAAAATGGACTGGGGGTTTAGTTTAGAGTGCAGTCCCTGGGTTTAATCCCTGGTACTGGGGTGTGGGGTGGCATATTTAGCATTAGATTTAACAGTGTAGTTTTGGGGTTTTTTTTTTGTTGTTGTTAGCTTGTTTTTTTGAGACAGGTCTCACTAGTAGAGGGTGGCCTTGAACTCACTGCATATCCCAGGCTGACCTCAAACTGGCCTGTAGTCCCATCTCTTGGGAGGCCAAGGCAGGAGGATCACCATGAGTTCAAGCCCAGCCTGAACTACGTATTGAGACCCTGCCTTAAAAAACAAAAGCAAAAATTAAATAACAGTTTAATTTTTAGAGCAGTTTCTGTTTAAAATTGTGAAGTACAGAAAATATTATTTTATAGTGCTCTGGTGTGCAACATAGTATAGACATTTACTTTAAAAAATAAGAAAGCTGGAGATGTGCGTGGCTGCTATGTGAGGTGACAGGTTTGGGGCAGAGGACAAATCACATGGATTAGAAGTTGTAAGGAAGTTCTCAGAGAACAGAGTCACCAGTGCTACTAGGGAAGGAAGGTGTTGTGGAGAACATAGATGAAGATAGACTCATTGAAAGCTTCCAACTTCTGCAGATCAGTATGGAATACAAGAGCCAAGAGGGAGAGAGACCTTTCCCACCGGCAGTGTAACATGGTGCTTGTTCTCAAACAGTTTTGTTTTCTGGGTAACATAAGAAAAACAGATTAAGAAGATGGTTGCAACAAAGAAAGAGGAAAAGCCAATTGTCCAGAAAATCCAGGCATCTGTACATAGCAGAGCAGACGTTTTCTGAGAGCCTTGACCAAAGAGAAACTTCTGGAGGCCAAACACTCAGGTATATGCCTGAAAAACTGTGTATTGATTTGAGTATAACCCAACACATGTCAAAGAAGGAAATGAGTAGGATGACTAGGCAGATCCAGAGGTGTGGTATAAACAAAAAAGCTGACAAACCCCTTTGGATGTGTCTCACTGAATTCAAAACTGTCTTCTCTATGAAGAATGTTTGAGGATGAATGATATTTTTTCTAGTTACCTGCTAGAAATAACATAAGACTGCTTTAGTTTATTTCCTCTGGAAATCCTTGTGTACCTCACTTCTTACTCAGAACATGCTCTTAAAGATGTTTAAGCAAAGTTTATATCCATGGTGGAGTCATGGATGAAAACATTCAGAAGAAAGTGACATTTCAAAGGGCCCAGGAATTCACTCAAGTCATCATAGCCCATTTGCCAATCCAGGAATAAATGGTGGCCACCAGAATGTGAAAAAATATCATTCAGTGATATTGACCATCAATCAAGTATTTGTCAGACTGTCCATTTACTTTCAGGTTCACACCTGGCCTGAATCATTGAGGAAAGGTGTATCTGCAGGAACAGGCTATATTCTTCAGAGTTCAGTGAGATTACATACAGCTGCAAGAGGTGAAATGCTTGAGGTATCATAACCAAAGGGCAAAACAGGGCAGTGCCATACAACTTGCCTTTACAGGACATCTTTGGCTCTTTATAGTATAAGCTACTAATAGCAGGAACCATATTTTATGCTTTTTTATCACCATTAGTTCCCAGCTCACAGGAAGGGCCATGATTAATGTTAAGTTTCTTTAAGAAGGAATTAGCCCCAACACTATATGGCTTAGGATATGTTAATTTAACCTTTTGTGGGGGGCTGTTGAGATAGGGTCTCACTATGTAGTTGAGGCTGACCTGGAACTCACTGTGTAGCCCAGGCTGGTCTCACAGTGGTCCTCCTGCCTCAGCCTCCCGAATGCTGGGATTACAGGTGTGTGCCACGACTCCCGGCTAATTTAACTTTTATATCTATTTGTAAAAGACTTACTTCTAGAGATTGTTTAGATGACTAAATATGTAAAGAGCTTAGTTTTTACTTAAAAACCAAAAAATAAAGCCAAGCACAGTAGTTCACTCCTGTAATCCCAGCACTTGGGACCTTGACAGAGAATCACCATGAGTTGAGGCCAACCTGAGCTACATATAGTTTGGGGCCAGCCTAGACTATGTGGAGAAACCTGCTCTCAACAACCATCCTAGAGTATGCATCAGGACCTGGTCTCAACAACAAAATAAAAAGGAAAAAGAAAAGATTTTTCAAGGAGTATATACATAATTTTTTGGGTATAGTAGTTATAGATAAATGTCACTAATGGAGTAATAAAAGTTGTTTTTAAAAAGTTGTATACAGGGCTGGGGATTTAGCTCAGTGGTTCTGTCACCTGCCTTGCAAGCACAAGGTCCCGAGTTTGATTCCTGGCACACACATAAAAAAGTTGTATATAGTAAGATGAGTGTTTTAGAGTACTTGATAACCCAAGTGAGGTGGTTTTGTTTTTGCAGTGCTGAGGAATCAAACTTTAGACCTCACACACATAACACAAGTGCTTTACCACTGAGTTACATCCACAGCTCCCTGTGTGAAGATATTTTGCTATTTCATTTTAGTTGACAGTGAAACTAGTTGTGGAGCGTTGCTTTTGATTCTCTGCTCAGTTGATTATGAAGACATACTAATCTCTATTGTTCCTAATATTGTAAGGATATACCAATTTAACTAATATTAGCATTAGAGCATAGTATTTTGTTGTTGTTGTTTTGCTATCAGTTGAAGCCAGGGCCTCAAGCACCCTGGGCAGGTACTCTGACACTAAGCTATACACCCAGCCATTTGTTTGTTTGTTTGTTTGTTTATGATCCTGGGTATTGAACTCAGGATCTTATGCTCGGTTGCTGAGCAACATACCCAATCTAGAGGCATAGTATTTTTAAATGCTATTGATTTAATAATAGTTAAAAATAAGCCATACTGTATTAACATGATTTTTCTAAAGCATGTTTTCTTTTAGTCACCTGGGGCTGCCATGATGAAATATAGACTGGGTAGCTTAGCCAGTAAACACTAATTTTCTCTCAGATTTGGAGGCTCTTGTATTCAAAATCCAGGTGTCAGCATGGTGGTAGTGGGGGTGGCCTCTTCCTGGCTAACTTTTTGCTTTGTCCTCATGTTGTAGGGAGACAGAGGAGGTAGCTCTCTGTTTTTCTTATTATAAGTTCACTAATCCATGTCAGACCATGGACTGACCTGCTTCAAGATCTCACTTAACCCTAATTTCAAAGGCCTTATCTTCAGATACAATCACATTCTGGGGATAAGGGTTTAACATATGAATTTAGGGGAGGTATATAAGTATCAAGTTCTTAACTAACATACATTAAATACTACCTGTATGGTACGTGAACTCCCTAAGAATCTGCTGTATTAAAGTTTTTGGTGAGCTATGTAGTTCAGCCTGGCCTTGAACTCACTATGCAGCCCAGGCTGGCCTCCCAAGTATGGGATTGCAGGCATGCATGCACCACCACCCCCAGCTTGCAGTACTAAACATTTTTGCAAGTTCTATAGAACCACTGCTTTTAAAGTAATTTTAATCTATAGGCTAGGGGCGTGGCTCGGTGATAGACCTGAGGTTGATCCCCAGCACCA